AAAAATGCAATCCTTCTCCAGGCACATTAAAGAAAGTCACAATGATTTCTTTTTAACAAGTTGAGTACAATGTTCTTCTGTTTCCTCTCAACTAGTTTGTTGTTTGGAATGATGAAATAATATATTTCCCAAAAAGTTATGAGGTTTGGTTATGAGGTTGTATGGCTATTTTTTTAGATTTATTTATTGATTTATTTATTCATTCATTCATTCATTTTAAATTCAATTTAATTAACATATAGTGTATTATTAGTTTCAGAGGTAGAATTTAGTGATTCATCAGTTGCATATAACACCCAGGCTCATTACATCAAATGTCCTCCTTAATGCCCATCGCCCAGTTACCCCATCCCCCCATCCATCTCCCTTCCAGTATCCCGCAATTTGTTTCCTATGATTAAGTCTTTTATGGCTTGTCTCCCTCTCTGTTTTCATCTTATATTTCCTTCCCTTTGCCTATATTCATCTGCTTTGTTTCTTAAATTCCACATGTGAGTGAAATCATATGATATTTGTCTTTCTCTGACTGACTTATTTCGCTCAGCATAATACCCTCTAGTTCCATTCACATCATTGCAAACGGCAAGATTTCATTCTTTTTGATGACTGAGTAATATTCCATTGTACACATATACCACCTCTTCTTTATCCAATCTTCTGTCAGTGGACATCTGGGCTCTTTCCAGTTTTTGGCTATTGTTGATAATGCTGCTATAAACATTGGGGTCATTGCATGGCTATTTTGAAAATGATCAGTTTAGTTCTATTTATTCATATACCTATATCTAATCTTGGTTCTTAATCATTTAAGACTGAATCGAAGCCCACTCTCTTAATATCATTTTGAGTTGCCTGATAAGAAAACTGGAAAGTGGGAGAACCACCATTAAGAGGTAGATTAAGGTTTGGGTATTTTCTGAGAGCTACTGGAAGTTGCAGAGATGAGGTGGTCTTTAGAGTCTAGGAAGTAATGTAAGACTTAAGATCTACCCCCAACTTGCAGTGAGATTTTGGAGTCATTTACCTTTGCTGCTTTTAAGTTTCCTTGTAAAAAAAAAAAAACAAAAATAATTAAGCTGTTTGAAGTTTACACCCTATCAGTTATCTATTGCTGCATAAAAAAACTACCGTAAAATGTAGTGCCTTAAGATAGGGATCATTTAATTTGCTCAGCGTTTCTTTGGGTTAGGAATTTGGATTGAGTTCAGCTAGACAGATATTCTGAGCTAGTAATTTTTCTGCCGGGTTCATCGAAGATCACTCATGTAGGTTGGCTGAGAGCTGATTGACCTAGGAGACCATGCTGGGATACTAATGCCTGCTCCTTAATTTCCAGGAAACGAGCTTAGGTTTCCTCACATGCCATTCTCTGAGAGCAAGAGAAGAGAGAGCAAACCCAGTGGTCAAGCACTGCATCATGCCTCCTAATGTCCCATTGGTCAAAGCAAGTCACACGGCCACACCAAACATCAGTGTAGGAGGGGTCTACACAAGAGGTTGGCTACAGGAAAACCTCATTGAGTGGGAGCCACTGTTGTAGCCATCTACCACCGGGACATCACAAAAATCAATCTGCAGATATGAAGAGGCATATTGTAAATTTTAAAATACTGAGTGAGTTACAGTCATAAGCCCTTGAGGGCAAAACAAGTGTTGTTATTCAGGGTGCATTTAAAACTGCAAGATACTTGGCGAAAAGAGTGCTTTGTGAAGTCAAAATGAAGTTTATCAATATATCAAAATTTTTGTTATTTCGAAAATGCCCTTCCCAGTTGTGAACAGTCCCACTTAGAACCCAACTTCAGTTTGACCCCTCATCCTGGGACGTTCTCTGCTCCTTAACTTTCCATTCCTTCTTACTGCACCCAGAATCAACTCCCTTCACATACTTTTTTTTTTTAAAGATTTTATTTATTTATTTGACAGAGAGAGCGAAAGAGCACAAGCAGGCGGAGCAGCAGAGGGAGAGGAAGAAGCAGGCCCCCTTCCGAGCAGGGAGCCTGATGCGGGACTTGATCCCAGAACCCTGGGATCATGACCTAAGCTGAAGGCAGATGCTTAACCATCTGAGGCACCCAGGTGCCCCTGCCTTCATATACTTAACACAGTTTGTAAATTTAAATGATGCACACATTTGTTTGTTGCCCTTCTCCCCCAGGACGGTATACAGAAAGCTCCGTGATGACAGGACCGATGTCTGTTTCATTCCCCAGTTGATACCCAGCGTCCAGCATAGGGCTGGCACATTATAGGAGCCTAATAAATATTTGTTGAGAAGTGAATGAAATGAAAAGCTACACTTACACAACAAGTACCTCCTGATGTTGTTTCCCAGTGACAGGCATCTTCTGTTCTGAGAATACAATGAACTTTGTCTCTTATGGATGATTCATTCTATCAATAATTTGCCAGGGGAGGGCAGTAGCTCCTTGCTTCAAACTCTTGTCTCCACATACCTCTTCTGTAGACCAATTCTTCCCTGAACGGTGGCAGAACCAAATCCCGTAGATTCCATCTGAGCTTGGCTTCTGGAATCCCACACTTCCTTCTACCGCTGTCTTAAGGGTCTTTGTCACTTCTTGCAGGGATTCCCACCCTGGATCTCTAACTGGGCTCCTTGCCAACAGTCTTGCCCAATCCTGCCCCTCCTCCCCCTCAGCTGCCAGGGAGATAATCATCAAAATATTTGAAAAACTAATTCTAAGGTTAAAGACCTCCCCTGCTCTCCTGAACCTAGAGATAAGATCAAGTTCAAACATTTTGGCATGAGGCTCAAGTTGTCTCCCCTGGGGTTCTTCTCCCAGCTCCTCTCCCAACGACCCCCTTCCTCCCCACCCCCTGCAGCCTCTGCCCAGCCACAGGGAAGGTTCCAGTACTGAATGAACTTGCCTCCCCTGCTGCAACACCATAATTTGATGCCAGGCATCTCCTTTACCTGGCCTGTCTTCACGGCGCCCCCTGCAGCCAGCAATCTCCCTCCTGACTCAAAACCTCATTCTCAGACTGTTGGGGTCTCCATTGTTCCTATCTCTATTAAAGTCTTCATCTTAATGTGTCTGAAGTCCACAGTCGCAGCTCCTGCTGCTGCCATTTCCAGCAAGGGAAGTGCATTGTTAGAAGAGTTGAAGGAAGGGAGGAGGAAGGGAGAAAATTGGAAGAAAAAAAAATTGTGTCCCACAATTGGCACCCCCTCCCTGACTTCCTTCCTTCCGCCCCTCTGTTCCGCTAAGTTACTCTGAAAGGCCTTTTGTGGAAATTATCTGTTGTGTTTTCCTGCCTGACATCCCTTCTCTCTCTGGACATGGCATTCTTCTTCCATTCTTTTTCATGGGAAAATCTGCCCTGTGTAGTTTGAGTGGCTTTGATCATAGCCACCTCTCAAGGAACTCCATGCCCTTGGACATAATGAATGGAAAAATTGGGCACGTGACCCAAACCATACCATTCAAAATCCTCCTTGAGACATTTTTTTGCAAAGAAATTTGGGAAGATGCTCTCCTTCCTCTGAGGATGCTAAGCTGGTAGCATGTAAGTCTGGGCTTCCAGTGATCATTATGATCTCCAGTAGAGAAGGCCTGTTTAAGATAAAGGGAGTCCTGAGGACATCATTTGAGCTCCTGGATCAAGCTGTGCCTGAAGCCAACTGACTTTCCTTTCTATGAGCCAATAAATGGTCTTTTCATTTAATCTAGTTAGTTTAAAGTTTCTTCCAGTTGCACCTGAAGGAGTCCCCACTTACTATACCTTTAAAACAAAAATGCTTCCTTATTATCTCAGGTTTACTCGGAGGAGGTGTGGATGAGACATGAAAAGTAAGACCCTGGCCTCAGCAAGGGGTAGGAAACACGACTGAGGTAAAATCTGTGGGTGAGGAAACTGTGCATCTCTCCAGCCCTTCTTGAGTCAGTCTCTCACAGAGCAACTTCATTCTTGTCTGGATATGTGGCAAGGAAGTTGCCAGAAATCAGGCAAACCCATTTCCAAATATAAATACCAAAATGCATCCCTTCGCCCAAGATAAACTCTTTGGTTTAGTTCTCTTTTGCATTACTAACACCTTAATTATTATTATTGTTACCAATGCTATGTGTACAGCTATTTAAAAAGGGCTGGATTAAGAAGACTGGCACTCATTTTCCAAGTACCAAAGCCAGGGACAACTCTACTCCCCGCTCCCGATAATTTCAGTGAACCATTGAGTTCATTCTTATTTATGCCCAGAAAAAATCTAAAATGAACACTTACTTCCTAGGTCTTTCTGTTAAAGCCCATCTCAAGCACAAAAGGTGTTTCATGGCTACTGAATAGAAATAAAATGGCTCTTGAGATAAACCTCACACCTTTTGGGGAGCCAGTTGGTATTTAAGGAAGATAAAAGGAGAGAAACCCAAGAAATAATGGCACTTTAAGATCACTTTCTATATAGGACTTCAAAAGACATTTTTTTAAGTGGAGAATTTCTCTATTTAGAGGTTTTTAGGGCAAAGCAAAATTATGGACCATTTTGGGAAAAGGGGAATTGTTAAAAAAGCAGTACTGACAAGAATAAACCAGTAGGAAGAAAATCTGTTTTTAAACCATTATTGGCAGTTCAAAAAAGGCCAGTGAACCCATACAGTGATGTTGAGAAAGGAGCATGGGTGAAATGTCTGTGAGAATAAAATCAGTTGGACCCCGTCACTGAGAGTCAACTTCAGGACAAGTTAATAAGTTCAGGACCAACTGGTCTAAAGGGATCCATGAGAAGCCGTCACTAGAAAGGTGTGTCCAGGGGGCGCCTGCGTGGTTCAGTTGGTTAAGCATCAGACTCTTGGTTTTGGCTCAGGTCATGATCTCAGGGTCGTGGGACTGAGCCCTGCATGGAGCTCTATGTTGAGCATGGAGCCTGCTTAAGATTCTCTCTCTCCCTCTCCCTCTGCCCCTCCCACCCCCAGCCCTCACACACTCTCTCTCTTAAAAAAAAAAAGAAAGAAAGAGCTATCACGCAGCTCTCCTCTGAGATGGCGGCGCTGTCAGTGTCTGGCGTTACCAGAAGAGGTCTCACGTGGGTCGTCTTAGGGGCACCACGCAGAGAATTTTGGTCTCAATTCAGAAAAGAGAAAAAGCCAGTGGTGGCTGAGACAGTAGAAGAGGTGAAGAAAGAACCTGTTTTGGTGTGTCCACCCTTACGAAGCCGAACATACATACCACCTGAAGATCTCCAGAGTCGTGTGGAATCTTGTATCAAAGAAATTTTTGGCTCATCTGTTCCTAGCAATTGGCAGGATGTGTCCCTGGAAGATGGTCATCTGAAATTCGGTTTGTTGGCACGTTTAGCTGATGACCTGGGCCATGCAGTGCCCAACTCCAGGCTTCACCAGATGTGTAGGGTCAGAGATGTTCTTGATTTCTATAATGTGCCTATCCATGATAGATCTAAATTTGATGAACTTATTGCCAGTAATCTGCCTCCCAATTTAAAAATCACTTGGGGTTACTGGGCAGTTCAGAAGAGGAAATGTTGAAATCATTTTGTCCTGAGCAAGGGGTTGGTTATTAGACTTGATACTTTACCATGTAAAATGATCAGAACTGTTCTCTAAACCCACTTTTTCTGTGGAAGAATGAATTACCTTTATTCTTCTCAGATCATGACTTAATAGCAGGATTTTCTTTTTTCACATTTGCTGAAATTTTGTTGTTTTTTTAGTGGAATCAGATCATTAATCATGTATGAAAATTTCCTTCTCTGGAGGACACAGTGATTAAACTTGTTCTTTAGATATGAGGCTATTATATGTTCAGACGTGGCCTTTATTCTTCATAGGCATAAAATAGTAAATGCAAAAACATGTTTTAATCCTGTTAGGACTCTTAAATCTAAGGTGGCATTATGTATAGTACAAATACAAATAGGAAACTTGGATAAAAGAAATGTAAAAATCTATGTTGTTTGTTATAGCAAGTTGTTTCTTTCACTGCTTTACTACACAAGCAGAAATAGTAGAAAATGATAGTGTCCATTCTAGATTCATCTCTTTTGGAATTAAAGTACATTTTTTTGAAAAAGAAAAGAAAAAAAGAAAGGTATGTTTGGGAGGCCTGGAAAAAAAGGCAACCTTTATGTGCCTTGCTCATCCACCTTCCTTTCTTTTTCTCTGTAGCACCTTGAGATCATTGCTGAGTCCAAGTAAATAGAACATTTATTTCTTCTTACATTTACTTACTCATTTGAGAAATGTTCTTTCTATTACAGGCTAGGCACTGAGGAGCAAGCTTGTGTGACTCAGTGGGGAGCAGAAGGAGCTAGACTGTAGAACTCCTGTCCACGCTCTCCACTCCTCACCACCTCGAACCTGGACTAGTCAACCAATATTTATGACACAGGCATATTTTGTGCCAGGCATTGGGAAACCATAGAAGCAGTCATTCCCCTTTGCTGTCATGGTGGCAGTTAGACAGGGGTCATGCATAGGGAGTAGCCAAAGTCTGCATCACGACGAAGGTTCTGAGGAGGCCGGATGTGGGCACGATTGTCCTCTCTTTGCAGGGCTGAACAGCTGCACTTTCTCTTTCAGATCAGGAACCACCAATATGTGCACTCAACATCCTAGAATCAGGGATGCCTGGGTGGCTCAGTCAGTTGGGCGTCTGCCTTCGGCTCAGGTCATGATCCCAAGGCCCTGGGATCGAGTCCCACGCCGGGCTCCTTGCTCAGCGGAGAGCCTGCTTCTCCCTCTGCCTGCAGCTTCCCCTGCCTGTGTGCTTTCTCTCTCTCTCTCTCTCTCTGGCAAATAAATAAAATCTTAAAAAAAAAAAACCATCCTAGAATCAATGTCCAAACTGGATGTGGAGGCTGGGCTTCTTTTTATTTGTTTGTTTGTTTATTTATTTGTTTGAGAGAGTGAGAGTGAGTTAGAGAGAGCACAAGCCAGGGAGAGGGGCGGGGGGAGAAGGAGGAGCAGATTCCCGGCTGAGCACGGAGCCCACCACCGTGGGACTCCATCCCGGGACCCTGGGATCATGACCTGAACTGAAGGCAGACGTTTAACTGACTGAGCCACCCAGGCGCCCACCCCCCCTTTTTTTAAATGATAGCATGTTATACATATGGCTGCATGCTGTGCTCTGTTTATTGTACTTAAGGACTATTTTGGAGGATGTGCATATCAGTACGTAAGAGCTTGCTCTTTCTCATTATGGGGTCTTAGCTTTCTATTTCATGGATATGTCATAATTTATTTAACCTGTCTCTTCTTGCTGGATGCTATACACTGAATGTTTGTGTATCCCTCCCGGCCCAAATTCACGTTAAATCCTAATGCCCAGTGTGATGGTATTAGGAGATACTGGGAGGTGATTAGGCCATGAGGGTGGAGCTCCCATGAATGACATTAGTGCCCAGAGCTCCCTTGCCCCCTTCACCAGGTGAGGGCACAGCAAGAAGGTGGCTCTCTGTGAACCACAGAGCAGACCTATATCAGACACCAAATTTGCTGGCACCTTGTTCTAGAACTTCCAGTCCCCAGAAATGTGAAAAATAAATTTACATTGTTTATAAACTGCCCAGGCTCTGGTATTTTGTCATAGCAGCTCCACCTGGTTGAAGACACTAGGCATTTAGATTGTTTCTAATCTTGTGTTACAAAAAAACTCATCGCTTTGTACCTGTGGGACTACATTTACAGGATCCGTGTTTAGAAGCAGAATTGAAGAGTTAGAGATTAAGGACGTCTGTTGTTTTGAGGATAATTACTCTGCTGCATCGGTTTGCTCCCCACCCGAAATGCGTGAGAGCGGCCCTTCCCACTACCCCCCACCAATGTGGTGCACCCCTGCTGTGAGATTCACTCCTAAGGGTGTGTTGCAGTGAGCAGAGGTGGTGACACGCTTCTTTTGCATAGGAATAGAAAAAAGTGTTAGGGACACACAAGGCAAAATGCAGCGAAACTCCTGCGCAGGTGGAGCTGGGGTAGGTGGTTTCTAAGCTGCAGAACTCAGGGCTGGTGGTGAGCGGCTAGGTGAGCAGGGGAAGCAACGAACCATGCCCAGGTAGGAATGGCGACTCAATGCATAGAGACGTCTGGAAACAGGGTGACCTCAGCGACTCTGTCCTAAGGAGGTAATTTACATATTGAAAAACTTTATGCGCTGTCTTGGTCGGCGTGGGCCAAACAAAATACCCTAGACTGGGCAGCTTAAACAGAAACTAATTTCCTTATAGTTCTGGAGGCTGGAGTTCTGAGATCAGGGTGCCAGCACAGTCAATTTCTGGTGAGGACCCCTTTCCCGGCTTATAGATAGGCTGCCCTCTCACTTAGGGCTCACATGGCAGAGAAAGAGAGACAGACACACAGAAGTTGGTTGAGTGCTCTTCAGTGTCTCTTCCTAGAAAGGCACTAATCCCATGAGAGCCCACCCTCATGACCTCATCTAACCCTAATTACCCTCCCAAAGCCCCATTTCCAAGTACAATCACACTGGGGTTTAGGCTTCAACATGTGAGTTTTGGGGGCCACAATCATTCAGCCCAAAACAGGCACAAAGTTGTTTATCTAACCTAGTGTCTAGCAAAACAGACCTGGCTAAGTGCACTGGGGGACCTCCCTGAAATGGAAGATCATGTAGCCATCGAAAATTTTCAAAAAAAAATTGACAGCTTAGGTTTATCACCTAGGGTTCGTTGACTGTCTTTGGCCCACTTAAGCAAGAGAGGACCTGTGGAAAGATGTTGGGGGCTGAGGCCACCCCAAAGCAAAGCGAAGCTGGAGGTCCAGGTGGAAAGCGGGCAGGAATAAAGAAGCTTCCAGAGTCGTGGGCAGCAGGGATCTATCTGTCCAGTGGTCTGGTAACAGGAGCGGCTCACGAGAGCCCTGACGTAGCAGCAAATAACCTGAGAATAATCCTTCCCTCCTTGCCTCATGCGTCTGTGGGATGCCTCAGCCCACACTGAAAAAGACACCAAATTGCTATTAGTGCTTGTCTTTGGGAGGTGCAGTATGGGTGTTTTATCTTCTTCCACTTTTCTGTGTTTTCCACTTTTTTTCTAATGTGCCAAATCCCTACTTATTTATCTTAAAATATCTGTGTGAACAGTTTAAGTGCACTGCTTCCAGGGAAAAATACAATTTAGGACTGGCACTAGGCAACATGGTGAGGGGGCTTTCTGGAAAGCTAACTCTGCTTCTTTTTCTTCTTCTTCATGGTCCTCATCCTCAGGCACCCAAAGACTACCTTTTCCTCCACTGACCTGCCACTTTCTATCAAAACCTGCTCTCAAAAAAGTGGTATGATGTCAGTTACCTTCCGGAAATTCAACAGGAATAACACAATAGCAATAAAACCAGCTAACGGTTACTGCTAAGGACTGAATTGTGTGCCCTCCCCCGTCCCCGCAATTCATTCACTGAAGCCCCAACCCCCAATGTGACCGGGTGGGGTCCTAATCTGACAGGATTGGCTTTCTAAGAAAAGGAAATGAGATCTTTCTCTCCCTCTCCCTCCCTCTCTCTCTCTCTCCCTGTCCCTCCCTGTCCTTCCCTGTCCCTCTCTCCCTCTCTCTGTCTCTCTCCTCTCTCTCTCTGTTTCTGTCTCTGTCTGTCTCTCTCTCTCTCCTTACACATGCCCAGAGGAAAGGCCCTATGAGCAGAGTGACAGGTGGTTCCCTGCCGAATCTAGCCCTGCTAGCACCCTGATCTCACACTTACAGCCTCCAGAACTATGAGAATGTAAATTTCTGTTGTTTAAGCCGCCCATTTTATGGTATTTTTTACGGCAGCCCAAGCAGACTAATATACTTAATATAATATATTCTATTCTAAGTGTTTTCCATGTATTAACTTATTCAGTCTCATAAACACCCTAGGAAGTAAGCACTGTTATTATTATTCCCATTCTTCAAAGGAGGAAAATTGATGCACAGAGATACTACACAGCTCACCTGCAGTCAACACAGTCCATCTTTGCTGGCACAGGACTGCGCATCTGAATCAAAGCAGACAGGTGCCGGTCCGTGCCTACCGCGTACTGAGCATTTACGTGCCTTATCTTATTGGGTACCTAAAACTCCATGACTTGGGTATTATCCCCATTTTTCAGTTAAGGAAACAGCCTGAGAGAGGTTAAGAAATTGGCGAAGTTGACATAGCTAGAAAGGTGAGGCTTTTCCCAAACAATTTAACATCAACATCAGAGCCACCGTCTTAAACACAAAGTAAATTCCAGAGGGATTTTTTGGGTGTGTGTTGTCTTGTCTCTATGGCCCACCATATAGAAATTGGTATGATTCTAAGAATGCCCTTGTTACATATAACTATTACCCATAAATTCTTTTACGACGTTTGATAATCCTAGTATTCCACAAGTAATTTTTATTAGAAAAATAATGCAAGTTGGAATCAGATAATTTCGAATGATGCAGCAGGATGGTGAATGAACAACCTAGGAAAAAATCACAGACTCTCCCTCAATGTCGTGAAGTTTAACGTTTGCTCACATGTCACCCTCTTGTTCAGGCCTGCTCAAA